CTAATGCCTTCAACATCGGGGTATCGCTTATTCCACATGAGTGGCCCTAAGCCTTGGTTTCGAGAAAATGATTTGGCTCTATTCAACTTTAGGGTGACCTGGACCTGAAAGGAGAACTGCAACGCACGCTTGTGTAAGCGATCTGATTCGGCACAACTCCCATAAAGTGCGCTATTTGAGCGAGAAAAGTTTGAAGCTCAACATGTCCAGAGTGTTATACCGTAATCTGTTTTGAACTCTCGAATTACGAAATTCGATACCTGTCCATTAGAAATAAGCCTTGCTAATGGTAAAAGGAATCCTTCAAGCTTTTTCCATAACAATTGGAGTCTTTCCTATGAAAAGTGCAATCCAGCAATTTCCTTTCTTAGATTCATCACTCGAAGTCAGCAAAGTAGTCATGGCAAAGCGATGAGCCAGTGAAAGAAACCGTCTCAAAACCTCTCAATATTACTATAAATAAGGATTGAGTATTATGCTGCGAATCGAAGCAACATCATAAGCTCTGGAAATGGTGGGGTGATCACAAATTATTGGCTTTTGCAGACAATGAACAGCGACTCTACAGCGAGCCTTATGAATACTAGCCCCATAAAACACAAAGTCATTTGTACTTTATTTAGGAATTCTTATAAATTACGTTTCATCTTGTAGAGTGTTAGTGCAGCCCATTGCTTGTAGCTATTACACTGCCGATGGTCTTGAATGCATTCTAACCTATATTACAGCATTAGCTAAAACCCCAAGGCGGATTATTAATTTGGCAAATGAGATGATAAATAGCATCAACTCTTTGACAGGTGACTCGTCCATGTAGTGACGCTCTAGCTATTCCCGATTCACCAAGATGACCAATTCAACTTGACCCTACTACAAATACGACGGACGGGCTCTTATCTTTCGCTTCCGGGTTCTCTTTACTCGGCGAAACCAGCACCGTAAAAACCAGGCTTCTTTCTTAGCGCTGACGGTTATTAGTGTTGATAGATGAAAACACGCGTACCTTCTCGATCCCATGTCGTCTGGCACGGTAAGGAAGTCTGGCATACGACAGCAGATTCAGCTCTGATATCTAAATAGGATATGCATGGTTGTTGCTGGATACTAACCCCGGACCATACAATGGTCGGGGAGAGGTAGGCAAAAGACGAACCACTCGCTGAGCGAAAGACATATGAGCTCGACTTGAACAAGCCCAAGCGGGACTGAGTTTAATATGAGCACGGAAATGAGAACCCAACTTATTGTAGTTTGATGGTGGCATCAGTGATGGGAGGAGCAAAACACAATGGGAACCGCTGACCGTCTTTGGGGGGAGTTGATGCAATCTCCACAACAAAAGGGCACAGGCGTCACGTCACGTTCTCTGCTTTCGTCCCGCCTTTCCCTCCTCGTATAACTTCGTATAATGGGTCGCACTATAGTCCCCCTAACTTTAGCCCTAGACCTGGGAGAGTTCGAAGTCCCTTACAACTTTTGTTTGATTCTTTCAACAAAAATCGTCCTTGAGAAGAAACTGATATTTGTAATGTAATACATGTGTGCCCAAAGGCAACAAAGAGATGAAAGTAAGAGAAACTGTGGGGCCGTAAACGGACAAATTGAAAGTACTCTTTTTGTAAGCAATTAAAGCCTGGGGAAGGATAAGATACCGCCCTATTTGGAAGCATGAGATGTCCTTCAAATATTGGTTGCAGAACAGTGTAGGTAACAATGAGTTAAGCTGAGGTGAGAAGAACGGTAACCTCCTCTTCTGGGAGGAAGAAATGAAGCTATTCATCAGCTAGTGCTATCTCGGGGAGGCCTCTTTAAAGGGTCGCCTACCGTATCCATTCAATAAAGTCCTGCATAGAAACAGTATCTACGGATATTTTTGTCACTCGCAAGTGTACAGGCCTCTAGCCACATGCATAATCTCATCAAGCCCTATCACGATCTTTTCTAGTCTGAAGAGTTCGGATTGCAGCTATGCACCATTTAGACTTTGCTCGCCCGCAGCTTGGAAAGCTCTCTTGTCCATCTACAAAGCCATTGCGCAAAACTGCCGTCATGGAATTATGAGAACAACGAAATTGGTCATTCACGCAAAAACATAAACTATGACAAGGCTCGATGAATCGGTACACGCCATGCATCCAACCTCTACTCGAACTGCAAAAGTGTTGGGAGGCGAATCTAACACACAATGGGTTGCAGTGCAATCATATAATTTAATATTCAGGTTTGAGGGTCTGATCTTAGTTGGACGTTGCGTATGGTTGCCTCTATTTGAGAGATTCCGATGGAAGATCTTCACTTGATGCGACGAGAATATTCCATGTCCGCTGGGAATGAAGCCAAGTGCGAAGTGAACAGTGCGTCTTCAGCTTTCAGAAGCTTATAAATCTAAGAACTGAAACGTTTTGAGCTTGAGAAACCTTGTAGGTGAATACTGAAGAACAAGAATGGACGGGGGAGTTAGGCTAAATACGGGAAATGGAGGAGGGGAACGACGCGAGCAGCAGGGAGACTAGTTAGTGCTAGAGAGGAAGAGGTTTCGAGTACTGCAGATCGGTAAGAAAATAAATTAGTCCAATATCGACAAAACATATATTGGAAACCATGGAGAAATGCAAAAACAGATAAGGAAAAAGGTAAAATGAAGGAAGGAGGAGTTAAAACCAGTGAGATTGAAAGTGCACGAGAAAAGTGAAGGCGTAAATTCATCACAATGACGATCGCTGTTGTGTGCGCATCCACCAGCTTTTTTAAGAATTTTCACTCAATGTTTGTCATCTGGCCATCACAGTCGAATTCAAGGTGGCCTACCGTAATCGCATCAGTCTGAGGCTTCTACATAATTTCTTTGATGGTTTAACTGATGGATAGCTTTTCAGAGACCCCAGCTCTGGCCGTGTAAGACTCCTTGCGATCAGCATTTCAGATAGTCGTAGTGGCCCTCGATCAGTCGCAATCTCGCTGAGTTCGAACCGTGCACCATGTTCCAGTGGGAAAATCTTCTGATCTTGTCGGTATATGAAAATGTTATGTTGTTTTTTGATAGACTTCTATAGGCTCCTCAATTATTACATGGGCTCATTCGGTATGAATTTAGCAAAATATGATTCCAATGATGCTTTAAATGGGGAAGGGAGTGACTGTTTCCCCCTCACCCCTGTATATCCTGCTCTGGATGCGGGATAAATATGCCCCGCGCCGTCGTCGATGAGTTGAAAAACGAAAAAAAATAGAATGCAGAGCAAGAACAGGGAAAGGGGTGGACGTTAAGGAAATGAGAAATTGACGAGCAAAGTCATCAAGCGGGCAGAGAAAAGCAGAAGCAAAGAGAGAGATTGACTGAGCGAAACGCAAATTGTGAGAAGGAAGGTCGGGATTGCTTGTTTTCTTTCTTTCTTACTCTTGTGAAAATGTTTTCAAAATGAAAGTACAAGGCTATAAGTGAAGAGGTTACCGAACGGTCCAATGTGACATCATAAGAGATAGCTTAACCTGCCGGATTTTTACCTGAGGTTGAATGCAGGGTTGATCGGCTAACAGGGAATCGGCTTATGGGAATGACAACATTGCATTGCGTTCGGAATTAGGATTTAGATATTTAAATTATGAAAGGAGGCCTCAATACTGCCTTTACTTCAGAATCCGTGGTCGAATCGCTCTTTCGATTCTATAATTCCCATTTACGAAAACTAGCAGACCTGCAGGTGACGATAGCTCTGCAAAACGAAATAAACATTGCATTCCTTGCATGTCTTGGGTGTAATGAATGGGAACGAAGTAAGCAATGTTGCAGAGAGTGCGTTCTTCACAAATTGTCATATCAAATGTGCCTCGCGGTTTTCACATCAACAGGAACGGTTATGAATAGAAATAATGAAAGGTGAACCGCTTGACGATGATTTATTCTTCTCAAGATGAGCCATGCATTCGAATTCCTTACAGGATCATGATGCGATTGTCCATGCGAAGAATTTCCGAGAATAGCCAAGGTGCGCACAAGCCAGGGATTTCACCTTCATAAAATAGCAGAATTAGGTATTATTAATAATATTAATAATATCAATAAATAAATGACCTCGGAAGGATGGTAAGCTGTTTGACTTGATCGATATTTGATTTGTTCTTTGAACCTAAGCGTTGGAATGTATGGTAGCGGCGCCACTTGTCAACTTCATCTTCTCACGTGTTTTGTTAAATAATATTTATCAACAACAGCGACCCCTTCTACCAGGAAGGTCTTTCAGGACGTGGAATGCTGTTCAGAATTTTTCTCTGTTTGTTGTGTTTGTTTTTGTTTGTTTGCTTGTTTTCAGAATGATTTTACTCATAAAAGCACGTGCACAGAACTCAGCTCTATGGTTCGCTTTTTCTGGATGATTCTCTGGGTGCCAAAAAGGCAGTAAGATTTCATTTCGTGTCCAGAAAAGTTCTATGTATGCCAGGCTGGCACATCCAAATTGACGACAGGAAAGAGGCGCCAAAAATGAAGTCATAGTTATGATCAGGACCATCTAGAACCCCTATGAACTAGACTTTTACGGAAAACTGTTCGGATTCAAGTGGGTAAAAATAGCGCCAAATGCAGTTGAAAGAAAGAGAAGAAAGAAATGAGTACCAGGTTCGCGCTCATCGCTGGATATCCCATATAGAAAAAATTTCCAGTGAAATCGAGATGTTCACCACTAAACATCGAGAACTTGGGGCAGTTTTCGGGAAATGCGATATCATTCATGCCAACGAACAACGTAGGGGCATGTTCGGCGCGGAAAACTGGTGGAACGTCTAGCTGATGATTTACACGGCCATCAAAGTTCCTTCTAAGCGGTACATCCGACCACAAGCTCTTCTCTCTAAAACGTGCCCGAGTGCCGAGAAGCAGGTTATTTGGAAGGTACTCGGGCCAAAGCACACGCTTCGTGATCACTGTACTATGTGCCTCAGTTCTCAGGGTCTACTGTTCTCAGCTATCAATGGAAGTTTCTACGATGGAAAGGCTCTTCCCGTTATCTGAGAAAGATGTCAAGGAAGACATGTAATCGTCCCATTTTTTTCGAATTTGAGTCAATAGTACCTTCACCAGAGCCTCTGTTTTCAGGACGATTCCACAACTCTTTGATTAGTGCGAAAAATCCAAATGCAATCCAGTGCTGAAGTTGGGTGACGGCTTCTGAGCCTTTGCTTTTGATTGCTTCAAAACTGTCACTGGCCGGGTAGAAAAATGTAATCAGGTAGGACACGAACATTGCTTCTTCTCCGACCATCAGGTACAAGCTTGTCAGTCCGATCAGTCCATAAGCAATGTGCTCTCTCTTCATTCCAGCATCAACCTTCTTCAGTTGCTCGTCAGCAGCAGCTCCATGAGACTTGTAACACCAAGCGACCATGTCTGCACGAGCCTTCTTCAATCCTTTCGACAGGACTCGCTCCCGCAAGTATGGGTGGTG